ACAGGGTCACCGAACGGGTTCTTACTCTTATTAACAAATGCCTGTTTTTTTTATTTGCTTTGAAAAAACTAGATTCTCACCCGTGCGATGCACAGATGAAAATTCACCAAGTTGTGTTTAGGAACTCTATTATAAAAACGCATAAATAATTAAACTTAAAATAAAGTGGAAAGTATTACAATAGGTGTTCATAGTTAAAGAGAGATATGACACCATCGAAGAAGGAAAAATTGAAATATTTTTAAAGAGATATAACATTTGAGTTGCACCATGTTCGAAATTTTAAAGTAATACCATTGGACAGAAGAATTTTTGCAACTAATTATTACTTTTCCTTGAGCCACACAAACTGAAACCTTGAATATTGAACCCAATATTAATTAATAGCCACATAATTCGGGTCACATATGTAGTCTGACCCGACCCGTTCTTGACCTATATTTTGTGTGGAAACATTATTCAGAATTTCTCCTCATTTTGTATAATAGAAGATATAGGATCGATTGTAATATGTAAATAGAATCGATCAATTCACTCTTTTGAAATTGTTGAAACTTTTTTATTTGATTAGATTTTTTTGCATACACTCCTGTTTGTGACATAATAATTCTTTGAATTTGATTTTTTCCAAGTCATGATATAGTGAATAAGTATCACTTTTTAAGAAATATCCGTTGGATTCATGAGGAATACATGAATGCATCTAAGTGTTTGAAAATTATAAGTATCTCATGTATGAATATAGTAGTACTAATTGAGTTCATGATTTGATCTTTTAAAGAATTATTCATTTGCAATATGGTGGTTGTTATTTAATCATTACTCTGAATTATTTAAAAGACCTGTTGCCATATGACTCTTAATTTGCCATTCATTATTTAAAATGCATACTAAATATTTCAATTGCCCAACCCTCATAACTGATTAACCGAGTTTTATATTGACATGTGGCATTCCAATTATTTTTCTTTTCTATATCAGTTTTTATGTATGATCCAATATTTATAAAAATAAAAATTATATAAAATTACATACTATGTATTCCTCATTGATCTTTCCAATGGTACTAATATTACATATAAAAATTTTGAAAGAAGAAAATCTATATTTTCTAAATATCTATTTTTAGGCAATTTTTTTAATTTTAAATAAGCAATATAGGTATCATATAAAGATCATAAAAAATGAAAATATTATACTCCCTCTCGATCTTTTTAAACTTCACACTTTCCTTTTTGGGACGGTCCAAAATAAACTTCACACTTCCTTATTTCCTTATTTGACAAAGAAATCTACATCAAAACAGTGTTAAACAGTGCTAAACAGTGTCAAACAATGTCTCAACAGTGCCAAACAGTGCCAAACGGTGCCAAACAGTGTACTTTACAATAAAGTCAAATTTATTTTCTTAATCAATGTGAAGTCAAACTGTGAAATTTAAAAAGATCCGGAGGGAGTATATTTTTCAAAAACATTGGATCATAAATAAAAAGTTATAACAATTGAAAAAATATAATGAATTGACTTACACATGAAGTCCTAATAGAGAGGGGCAAATATCACGGGTGAACAAAATTCCATTTACATAGACTGATAGACAGGAAAAGGAATTATATGTTTGCCATACGGAAGGATATTGATGGCTTTGTGAAGCATTGATGACATTAGCATAATCCAATCTCAAGCAAATTAGATTTGACAGTACTAAATTGTCATACATAAGTCTATGTAGAGACATTGTGTAGTACAAATACATTTTCATTATCATACTCTGTATGTAGAATGGTGTAATTTATTCACTATAGTGGTTTTCAAAGGGTCCAATAAAAGTTAAATAGTTAATTATACCTTACGCATTTGTTATGAACCATTAGGTCATCTAATCTCGATTCCTACCTTCGATTCCAAGGACAGATTGACAACGGCTTTGCTCTTGACCGATTCTCTTTCCGGAGAGCGCCACTATTTCGTAATGCCGGTGGATGCAAATCCGTGCTGGGGGAACATATGTTTGCGATCCGTCTTTAGTTCACGTCGCCATTACTCTGGAGACGGAGTATCTCAGAGGTTCAATCACGGCGGTGCATTCGATTCTACAACATTCAAGGTGCCCGGAGAGCATGTTCTTCCATTTCATGGGCTCGGAGACCAATCTAGAGAGCCTCGTGAGATCCACTTTTCCTCAGTTGAAGTTCAAGGTGTATTACTTCGACCCGGAGAGAGTCTAGAGTCTCATCTCCACTTCCGTCCGGCAAACGTTGGAAATTCCTCTCAACTATGCCCAGAATAACTTGGCGGACATGCTTGAGCCATGTGTGCGCGGAGTCCTCTACGTAGATTCCGATTTGGTTGTCGTTCACGACATCTCAAAGCTATGGAGTATAAATTTGGGGGAGAAGACTATCAAGCTCCAGAGTATTGCTATGCCAATTTCACCAAGTACTTCACCTCCAATTTCTAGTCTGACCGGAAATTGTACGATACATTCACCGGACGTGACCTTTGCTACTTCCACACCGGCGTTATGGTCATACATCTGGCGAAATGGAGGCGGATAGGGTACACGAAGCATATAGAGAGGTGGATGGAGATCCAGAAGACGATCAGGGTCTATGAATTAGGCTCTCTACCGCCGTTCTTGTCAGTGTTTGTCGGAGATGTGGTCGCAATTGATCACGGGTGGAACCAGCACGGTTTGGGCGGCGATAATGTGAGGGGAGGAAGCTGCCAGAACCTCCACCCAGGTCCGGTGAGTCTCAGAATGGTCTGCTTTTATAGCTGGAATTACGCATTGTTTCATTGGTTGCCCGATTAAATATATCCTAACATCGTAATAACCGAGAAATAATAGAAAACAATTTGGATCAGTACAAATGCATTTGACAAATTTACAGTTGATAAGACTTGTCAGGGACAGTAACTTAATTGACTACTCAACATTAATGCTTAACAGTGATTCGTCCCAATATCCAAGAAGATATTATATGAGATGCTTATTTGGCGTATTAGAATGTGAAATACTCTGTAGAACGCAAATAATACATCCCACCACATACGGTGCACTGCAATTTGTCAGACACATCAAACATGCATTTAATGACCCTACTCCACAATTACACAAAACCCTTCGCATGACCCGACCCTTTTTTCGACCCGCATCTTTGGGCGGGAAATTGAGCTGCTTTTCCACTCCGGTTTGTATATAGTAAGATGTCTGTTTTGAAAGGGAAAAAAGTATACTATTTTTAACACAATTTTCTTATGTTAAATATGGAATTTTAAAAAATAAGTAGAAAGATATTATTGATAAATAAAGTAGGAGTTATTATTTTTTGGAATAATTGCAAAAACATGAGGGGTAGCAATTTTTGGACGGATCCAAAACATTTTGTTTGAACTTTTTACACTATTATTCACTCTTCATTTTCTTCCAAGTTCTCCTTGCTATTAAACCTTCTTTTAACTACGAAATCATGTAGAGTTTAATGTAAACCTCATACAGAGCAGGGCACATATATATATATATATATAGTGAAGTAGCACACACTACATATATATACTGAAATCATAATAAGTGTTCCATAAGAAAGAAAGCCAAACTATTGACATTTAGGTAAGCTCTACATAGCAGCTTATGAAAATAAATTATGAAGCCAAAGTTTGTTTGCATGTGTATCAGTGTATGTATTTACCCGTTACCTTGTATAGTGACATATACATTTCAACTTGGTGGCATGTAAATTTGCTTTCATTGAGGACATCCACATGATCACAACATCCTCTTCAATGTCGGCCCAATATTTTGTGCTTCATATGTTCACCCTTTGTTCTTGACTTCTCGAATTTAACTAATGATAGATGCAGGAGTATACTGGTATTTATCTACTACCAAAAAGTGAAAGGTCAGACAAATATATATATATATACTCAAGTAGAAAGAGAGGCCCATCTGAAACCGACACAGAACTCACACCAATGTGTGACCAAAAATTGTACTCCGTCCGTAATAGAAAAAGTTGAGCAAACATTGCATGCCTCAAGGATAGACAAACCGTCAACATATATGTCATCATACTCGCAGAGCGGTGTCATCTGTGGCTTCAGACCTTTCCTCCTGCGGGTTTGTACAATAAGCACTGTGGGAATTCCTGCCCAGATGTGGCAGCTTGAAGAGTGCGAAAGAAGACTGAAAGACTCGATTGACAACAGGAAGGTACCATGATATTGTCAAGGGGGATTCCAAGCCTCTGCATCTCCTCAAACACGTGATCAAGTTTCTGCTTCAGAACACTGTAGATGCCACCAAGAGCTTGCTCTGGTGCTTGCGTCTCAAGTCTCAACTGTGTAAAATACTCATTTTTATGAAACTATTGATTGTGGGAGAAAGGTCGGGTGTTGTTCCGGAATATCGCTTATGAATTGAAGGTCTCATGTACAGATGTTAAGTACTTGCAGTCATAACCGCACACTGTTAGTTTCCGTTCCACACGTGTGAGATCATTTTCAGGCCGCATAACTGCCTTCTGCACTGCCGAATTGCATCAGTTTTTGCGCATGGTTTGCGCATGATGTCCAAGGGTGGGAACAGTTTTTCCCAACCGGTTCTGCTTATATATATATATATATATATATATATAGTCATTCTCCTGTCCAGTACTTTTCTGTCCGAACGCCGTCCGAACACCGCCGTTTGGGGCGGTTCCCGGCGGAATTTTTTGATAAATTTTTTTGAGAATGTTCCTCTCATCAAGTCTAGTTTATCCATACCAAATTTCAGCTCAAAATTCGATCAGTAAGGCAGTCAAATAATTCGTCGAAGTTAACTGCGCCAAATTATACATAGAAAAACGCAGTTAACTTCAACGAATTATTTGACTGCCTTCCCGATCGAATTTTGAGCTGAAATTTGGTATGGATAAACTAGACTTGATGAGGAACATGCTCAAAAAATTTCATCAAAAAATTCCACCGGTAACCGCCCCAAACGGCGGTGTTCGGACGGCGTTCGGACCGGGAGGTGCTGGACCTGAGAATTTTCCTATATATATATATATATTTCAGGAAGACCCATGAATCTTGTTATCTCAATTTGACCGTTGACCTGGGGGAATTACTGATTATGCACAACTCAGGAAACTTTCAGTTGGGCGACTATTATACTCCATCCTCTAAATGTTCTTCCTTTTCGTCTATTCTCCAAAAGTTCTTTATTCTTATTTCCATTTTTAGTGAAACTTTAGGCTTACTTTCCTTCAACAAAAGGAGTTTTAAAATGGGCTCCCCTCACATTCTCAAAAATTGGTGGCACAAGCAAAAGCGAAAGAAAATGAAAACAGAGTTACAGAGGCAGTATTAATATTAAAATGGGCTCTCAAATCTTAAAGAATCCTGATACTTTGTCCATCTGCTTACATTTGCAATACATATCAATAAGTGAAGTCCTCAAGGAATCATCATGAAGCTTACCATCCCTTATGACTTTACCATGGATCTGTCTCCCTAGTTTAAAACTAATCAAAGAAGACACCAACTTCAGTGATATTGAAAATGTAAGCTTGTTAAAAGCAGATCCTGGTCGTTGCTGTTTTGACAATTCATAGAGGAACTCCAATGCAAGCCTCTCAAACCCATGCAGCAAAAGTCCACTCATTATTGTATTCCAACTTGACACATCTTTCAACTCCATCTTCCAGAAAAATTCTACACATCTCTCCATGTCTCCCATTGTTACATACCTGGCTAGCATTATATTCCAGGATGCTGCATTTTTAATGCCCATCAATTCGAAAAACTGCTCTGCACAATCAAATGCCTCATATTTCACATAGAAATCAAGAATAGCGTTCTCCAAAGCAATATCCAAATACACCCCACGAATGACTATCCAACCATGAAGAGCCTTTCCTTTTCTCAACCCGTCACGAACACTGGAACAGCACTTCAAGACACTGAACAAAGTGAATCTGTTTGGAATCACGGTTCCTTCTTTCAGCACCCTCACAAAGATACCCATAGCTTCTTGGCAGAACCCAGAACGAGCTAAGCTTGATAAAACTGTCGTCCACGTTAGAACATCTCTGTGGGGAAATTCATCGAACAGTTTATAGGCATTGTTAAAGAGATTGCTTTTCAAGTAGTGGGTCAAGATGCTGTTGCGCACATGCAGGCTACGGGCTGAAGATCCATCTTTGATCGCATTGGCATGATGTGCTGAAGCACGAGAAAGATGATTGGACAAGGAATTATGAGAAGCGAATTGAAATTCTTCATCAACCTTCACGGAAAGTGTGGCTGCGAAACGTGCAGACATTGACCCATTGCTAGGGCCTAGAATTCCAAGAAAATTCCTACGTACTACTCGCGATGCAGAATACACTGGGATTCGTGTCATTTCTTCATCTGCTTCTTGTGATTTGCTGCTGTAGTACACGTAAATGGTAATGATGGTGGTGCCATTTTGGTTATACCAGCATATATCTGTTTTTAGTCTATTAATATTAATGAAATCAATACCCGGAAATAATTAGAAATAATTACGGATAAAAATGAAGATTGTTTATAAAAATATGATTAGTGAATAGAGTAATAGTTTAATTATAATAATTTATGTTCAATTTTTAAACTTAAATTACTACTCGTATGTCTCTATATTGTAACTAATAGTCATATTTGTTTAAATAAATTTTATTTTAGTAATATTTTTGTAAAAACCTCAAATAATTGTCCTATTTCTTTTATGCTGTTTGTTACAACTTTTTTCTTACTCAAATCTCAATTACAACATTTACAAATAAGATAATTATTTTGGGGCGGATGGAGCAAGTATTTGAGTCGCGTGTAAGTCACTATTTTTTCGTTCTTTTTTTGTAGTCTTAAAAATATAAAAAAGAGAAATCCATTATTTCAGTAACTTGTAAGTCTTCAATACAGCCATTTCAATGTATCTATCCACTATAATATTGCCTTTGGACAATTAAAAGTGGCACATGTGCATATTAATAGAAATTATTATTTTTTCACAACTAAGATAACTTAATTATATTTATAGAAATGAGTGATATTGAACATAATCATATTCGAGCAATGCGCGACAAAAACTAATCTTTTTAAGTTTTAGATTTTTTTTATTTGACCTAGTCTAATCTAGTCTTTTAAGTTTTATTGAAGTCTAACATAATCTAATTTAGTTTAATTTGAATTAATTTAATTAATACGGAGTATGACATTGTCAACCAATCCAATTAAAAAAATAAAAATAATGTGATCCACTCGGCTTACTTTAGCCAATTTTGCTACTTGTACACCCCATTATTATTTATTTATGAATCCCGCTCACGGACAAAACAAACACGCTTTTGTCTGCGACAAAATATGTCTGTTTGTCAATGAACAAGATACACAAACAAAAAAACACTTTAAGTAGAAACATCATTTTTCTACTGGTATGCAGGAATTGAGATGTTTTTACTTGGACTTTTTCAATTGTACACCAGATTTAAACAGATCAGACCAGACTAGACTTCCACAATTACTCCTTCGATCCTTTAAAATTTTATAAACTTTCTTTTTTTAAATATCACACTAACTTTGACATTTTTAAAGGTAAAGAATTTGTGTTTTTGAAGATAGTAAGGGAGTATAAAATACACTAAGACATATTTCACACAGGACCAGGTTAAACTTAGAAACCATACCAAAAAAAATTGTATCATCCTTGCAAGCACTAAAGGATTGCAGGAGCCTCATCCATTGTTACCTGCATCAATGGCTACTTCCTCAGCTACTGCTCTCTCATCATTTTTCTTCCACACCATCCCAATCAAAACTTGTCCTATCCATTCTGCACATTCTTTACTTTCATTCTCAAATCATAAAATTTGGAATTCCATTTGGGGCACTTCGTTGAAAATACGACCTTCGGCTTCTAGCACTCTCAGGGTACCAACTCGACTCCTCCGTTGCACCTCTCCTCACACCATCTCTACGAACGAGACCCATTATGAGGTGTTCCTGGTTTTACTCCTTCCGTTCGACATTTTCCGCTGGATTTTATAGAAATTGATTGGTTTATTTGTTATCCCAAGACCTTATCCACTTCAATTTCTATTTCAAGAAAATGGGGAAGTTGAATTTATTCGCTCGACAAAGCTTACTGTTTATACTATCTCCGTTCTTTTGCTAAATTTTTGAGAAATATTGTTAAAGTTATCTCATTTTAAATTTCAAAATGTGAATTTTGTAATTTTTTTACTAATAAGAAATGAAAAGTAGAAAGTTGCAACTTGCAACTAAAAGAGAATGGAGGAGTGTTTATCTTCCAACAAGCAGTATTTATCGTTTCTGTGTGCTTGCGCTCTACACTTCCGTTTTTTTGTGATTTAAGCTAAATTATTAATGCTCAAATGGGTTTAAAGGTAGCAGTAGAACTAAGTGGAACAGTGAGGGATGATTGTGATGACAAGGGTAATCAAATGTTATGACAATTTTAATTAATAAGTTTTTTTTTTAGTTTTTTTTGTTATCTGGATTTATTTTCAGTTTGTAAATGATTTTGAACCGCAGCCAAACAAATTGATGTCAAACAAAAATTTGCAGTTTTTTGATGGGTCATCTGATGTGGAGCTGCGGTTAGATCTTGGCAATGGAGGAGACATAAGTCCTAAAGACATATTTATTGATTCAAATGAGAGTTCATTAACAATTAGAATGCAGCATTCTGGATCCATGCGAACTCTAATGGAGACCTGTATTCTGTATGAGAGGATAAAGCCTTCTGAGACCATATGGTGAACTGAATGTTCAATCATTTCTGGTTTTCTTAGTAAGACAAGATGAGAAACATATCACATATTTATATACATTTTTAGTCGAAGTGGTTGTGGTTTACTCAGGTATATAGATGATGATCAATTGGTTATCAGCCTGAAGAAACTAGACCCTGAAGTGAAATGGCCTGACATTGTGGAGTCATGGGAATCCCTAACCACAGGGGTTAAGCAACTTCTCAAAGGAACATCTATATACTTAGTTGGAGAATCTACAGAAACCAATCAGACAATAGCTCGAGAACTAGCAGTTGGTATTGGGTAAGGGGGCGTAAGGCCATCTCTTCCTTGGCTAATGACATAGACATAGAGTTGCTTATTCATAATTTCATACTCAATTTTGAACTAGGGTGGACTCAGAAGCTTCTCTAATGCTATGTTGGTTGAGGGATTTTGGTGGAGAAGAACATATATTTGAGATTAATCAATTTACATACTCCATCCGTCCCATAAAATTCTTCCCACTTACCTTTTTGGGATGTCCCAAAAATTCTTCCTATTTCCCTCTTTGGAAAGTTTTGTGTCTAACATTCATTTACCTGTTTCTTACTCAACCACAACCGTATATTTCCACTTTATTCTCACTTTCTTAAACTACGATCCAAGTCCAATCGGGAAGAATTTTATGGGACGGAGTATTTTGATACACGTCGTTTTGGTCATGTGTACCAGAGGCGCATAAAAGGGGCTAAGTTAATTAATTGTCTAAAAGCTTCCCTAATTATTTCCCTTTTAAGTTATTCTAGCTGTTTCCTTTTATACTGCTTTTCTTATCATAGTTGTTTCCATTTATTTAACCTTCCTTATTTTAGGCAGTCTCTTATTAATGAGTCTGTATTAGTTTAGATCTGTTTCCTAATATTATTTAGGAAACTTATTTCTGCCTATATAAGGCTAATCAGTTTGAATAAAGAGGAAGTTTTTGGATTAATTAATCTCTGGATTTACTGGTGGAGCCAGGGATCACCTTCCTTGCCCAGGGCAGGAAGTTAGTTTTTTCTGTTCCAACATCATAGCTTCAGATCCCGTCTTTAATTATCAATGGCCTTGGACGAGATCCTGTACGAAGGCCTTTAACATATTTATTTATTTATTTATAAAATTTGAAAGATTAACATAATAGTTATTGTGTATCATTTCGATCGCCCTTTATTTGTTTTAGAAACATTCTATTTATAATAATATGACTGAGACCTCCAAATTCTTCATCTCCAAAGCCTTCCATCCAAACAGGCCTTAAGTCAAGTCTCTTCTGGCTTTCAGGTATACTCCACTCAGTACAATGGATCTCTTGGAAGCCTATACCAAGGAATCCTTTGATTCATGTGAGTTTTCTTTACCCCCCCTTTTTCTAGAAAAGTGTTCTCTTTGGTAACTATGTGTTCCCCAAGGAAGTCCTAATTGAATAAAATGAGTATAACATTATTCCCTCCGTCCTGGGTAAAATTTCTCATGCGGTTTATGATGTTAAAGTGAAGTAATCCCTGCCAATATAAGAATATATTTTAGTAATAAAATTTACATATTCAGAAACTAGAGTCTTGTTCGAGTCAGGAGCTCCTGATTGGAACCGCGGTGCGGAATTCACTGTTTGGGGTGGTTCTTGATGGAATTTTTGATGATTTTTTTTAGAATGTTCTTCATCAAGTCTTGTTTTTGCATACCAAATTTCAGCTCAAAATTCAATCTAGAAGGCAGTTAACTAAATTATTGAAACATAATGCGCATTATGTACATTTATAAAGTGCAGTATATTTCAAGAATTTATTTAACTTCCTTCCCGATTGAGTTTTGAGCTGAAATTTGGTATGCATAAACTAGACTTGACGAAGAATATGTTAAAAAAAATTCATCAAAGAATTCCACCGGGAACCATCCCAAACAGTGAATTCCGCACGGCGTTTCCGGTTAGGAGCTCCTGATATGAACTGCCCTCTCAGAAACTATACTAAAAGTTTTATAGTCACAAAAAACATAAATTTGATAAAAGTTGGATATAATGAATAAAAGATTAAGAATAATTTATGTTGACCGGAGAATAGTGGACGAGAACCTTTTCCTAGGACGGAGGTAGTAGTATACTCAATGAAATTTGTTAAAAAAATGTCTCATACAAGTTAATTGTTGAATTTAGTTAACCCAACAAATAAATTTAAAAAATGTAGTTCGAAGTGATAATATCCAATAGTTACCTCGCTAAAGTTTAAAATTCGTATGCTTTTACCTTGACGTAACACGCGTCTTTTTGGGGTTATAGACATACTCATTAATGCCAAAAAACAGTTTTTGTCTTTTCACCAATCTCCATTGCATCAAGGTTCTATTACGACTGAAACTAATTTTAAGTGCGAAATCTATTATTGACCGCGATGTGTAAACCTTCATTGAGCCACCAATTATACACAGTCATCCCATATATGCTATTAATTCTCCATTGCCCCAAATCAACATACTCCCTCCACATTGAAATGTTTGCTACACTTTCTTTTTGGGATGTATTTTTATTTTTGCTACACTTTACCTTTTGGTAAGTCTTCCCTTTGAAAATACTCAATTACCATTGCCTTTTCTACTTTTTATCTTCTCTTTTTATACTTTTCCACTCTCCCTCCTACTTTTCTACACTATTGATTACCTCTTACTTTTTCCCTTAAGTATCGTGTCAAACCCTATTGTAGCAAACATTTTAATACGGAGGGAGCATTAGAGAGATACATTTAAGTTTATAATGACCCAGTTTAGACTTTAGACTAGCTACTTGTTCTGATTCAATTTTTAGACTGATTTGACCATGGTATTATAGGCAAGTTGAGTTATCTCAACCCAATTATGAATAGTGTTGGGTTTGACGCGTGAAAAGGGGCTCAATGGTGTTTTAGTATTGACTCTCATGCTCAGTAGGTCCAGTAAGGGCCTAAGGGGATGTGCTGGAGCTTAGTTATCTCATTTAGCATTCACATCTTAAAGATGTTTTTTATACTCATACATGTTAAGGAAATATTTAACGACTAATCATATCTTCTAGCATGCATACCAAATAAATTATAACACGGCTGTTTATGTCCCTCTATGTTAGGGGCAAGCAAGGAGGGACCCGATGCCGTGGCAGATTCAGAGAGTGCCATATTTGAAAGCCTCAGTAGGTACTATGTTCTAAACTACTACTAATACAACTCATTATCACGGATTAGTGCTGAGAACTGGAGGCGTCTTATTGAAAACTTCATCTTTCAGCCACACCCGTGCTGTAGTGGCAACTTTAGGAGGAGAGATGCATGGTGCTGCTAGAAGATCCAACAGATGGCGACATCTCTTTTCCGGGTTCACAATCTGGTTATCTCAATCTCAAGCTACAGGTATCATTGTAAAACCTCTCTCTTGTTTTTTTATATTTTTCAACATAATGACAGTTTAGATAGTGGCATACATACATCAGCTAAATGTGATTGAATAAGTCCTTCAATAAGTGTTAGATTGTTGGACAATCCTGACATATTAAGAAATCTTACTTGCCAACTTTCCGACTCCCTGCATCAAAAGTGATTTGGTATTTCACTCTTCATTGGAGAACACGATTCATATTTATTCTGAACTTTTGAATTTCAATTTTTTATCCAATCAGTATTCAGTTTTTGCGCTTGAATAGAACATTTATTGTAGTTTCTAAATATATAAGTTTTCATTATTGTTACTGATTTAAATATTCGCCGGGATGATTTAAAGATAGTCAACCTTAAACATACAAGTTTGCACATTGTTTTGGGTCGGAGGAAATATTTCTTTAATTACAGTTTGTCATCTCATAATATTGTAAAATCAACATGCACTTCATGGAATATGAGTGTTCCCCTAATCGCACTGATCAAATGTTATTGTTTGGTTTTCATGAACTTCAATTTCAGACGAAGGTATGGCAAAAGAGGAAGCCCGAAAGCAGATGGAAGGTTATCTTCAAGGTTACTCTAATGCTGAGGTAGTAGTTAAGCTTGGAGGCTGGGATCCTACGTACTCCAAGACAGTTGCTCAAGCTGCACTTAGTGCCCTAAAACAGTTAATTGTGTCAGATAAAAACCTCTCAGGTACTTTGCTCTTTCTGCTCGTTGCTATGAACTTCTTGGCGCCACTTCTTTGCAAGTCTTTATGCTGTAATGCAAACTTGGTGCCCATTTGGTATCTTTTTCAGCTTATAACTAGATGTTTTTTTTACTAACACTAACATATATAACTACGATGGCTGAATCAATTTGTGGGGTGCATACTGCTTTGCCGTTGAAGTTACTGAAATGACTTTAAAATGACATTTATATCCTCACTTTTAGATAATACATAATTTGTAAAGAAAATGTATTTTATACTATGTACTGTATTATTTTTAGATATTTCAGCCAGTTCAGCCACAATTTCATCAAGTTTAGGCACTATGGACATCAGATCTATGTTAACGCTTAGCAAATGAGTTATTAACTCCAATGTAGGTAGTACCATAATATGGGACACCTTTAACTCCAATGATTTCATTCTGTTTTCTTGTTTCTGTACAGGTAAAAAGAGTCTATACATAAGATTAGGGTGCCGAGGTGACTGGCCAGATATCAAACCCCCAGGCTGGGATCCATCAACTTCTGAAAGAACTTCTGTATTGTAGATTGGTAGTCTATTTATTATTGGGTTTGTGCTATTACTAGGGGACTTTTTGTTTCAATTTATCGGATGCTGCAAGTTTTTGTAGTATTGGCTTTTCCTGCAGAATTGCTGTAGAATACCTGCAAAACTTAATTAATATAAGACTAAATAGTCAAATAGACCCATGTACCCTTTTGGATTGCTCAATTTACCCCCTGAACTCAAACTGCTCAATTTCACTTTTTTTTCAAGTCACAATCCGGTCATTGCCACGTCACCCGGTAGGGTTCCAACTGTGCATGTGATGTGACAATTTAAGTTATCAAATAAGCCCCTGAACTTGATTAAATCATTTAATTTACTCCCTCAACTCTTAAAAAACTCAAAATTACGAAAAATAGAAATAAAAAATGAAAATAGAAAATAAAAAATAGAATAAAAAATAAGTCAAAAGTATAAAATATAAATATGAAATAATTTTTTTTTGTAAATTCAAAATAAAGAAATAAAATATAAACTAAAAGAATATAATTTTTAGTAAATATGTATTTACTATTTTTATAGTTTAATTCTTATATATGAGTAATTTTTATTATTACTATAGATATAAAAAAGTGTAATAAGTAACTTTGAATTTTTTTTATACCCGTTAAGCAAACTACCAAAATTAATGGGGTAAATGTTGGGAAACATTACCAAATTTTATAAAAAATAATGAAAAATACATCATCGAGAGGGGGATTAGATCAAAACTTCTCGTAAAAAACCAATCATAGAGTCTAATGTAATATGATACTTTTGAAATATACATTGATATGACATTGTAAAAATGAGCATAACATAAGTACCAAATGAGCATACATAACTTACAAAATGCACATTAATATGAAAATTGTTAGGTTTATTAGATGAACATCATGACATTTTAATTGAACATCAAACCTCCACTATTGAGATGAAAATCACGACTTCTGGAGAATTAGTAATAATGAACTTTTAATGAGCACCAAACCTATTCTGTTGAGTATTAGGAGTCAAATATTCAGAATCGTGATATCTGCTTCATAACTTCTAATTCACTTTCTTTTTGTTATTTTTTATCTTAAGGTTTGTTAGTTGAACATCACGACATTTTAATTGAACATCAAACATCTGCTATTGAGACGAAAACCATAGTTTTTTGTGAATAAGCATTAATGAACTTTTAATGAGCATCAAACCTATTATGTTGAGTATTGGGAGTCTATCATAAAATAATACTTTTAAAAAATCATTGATATGACATTTAGAAAATGAGCATAAGATCAGTACCAGATGAGCATATGTAACTTACAAAATGTTCGTTGATACGAAAATCATAAGGTTTGTTTGTTTGACATAACGAAGTTTTCATTGAGTATCAAACATCCTCTATTGAGATGAAATCACAGTTTTGATTAAATGAGCACTACTGAACTTTTAATGTGCATCAGACCTTTTATGAGCATTAAAATACTTTCAATGAGCATCAAACTTATTCAGTTGAGTATTAGAAACCTAACAATGTCAATCTAATGTCATATGCAACATTTAAAATTTGCATGAATATGGCATTTTATTTTTTAGGTACATATGAACATGACATTTTAAAAATGAGCATAATATGAGTACAAACTGTACAAACGTAACTTACAAATGAGTATTGATATGAAAATCATAACTTTTTTAGTTGAACTCCAAAACATTTTTATTGAGCATCAAACATCCTCTATTGAGTATTGAAGACATGCATTTGAGTATTATGATCTATGCTCCTATATCTATAATTAACTCTTACATGAATCTAAAAAATAAATTGAAATATTTAATAATATTTTATATTATATATTTTCATAATAATTGAGTATAATTTTATAGACGGTTGCTAAAAAACAAAAACAAAAAAAAACAAAGAATAAACAAAGGAAAAGAAAAGAAACAGAATGTATCAAGGTAAGGAGAACGTATGGAACAAAAAAAGTATGACCGCATGAGTGGAGCAGCGGCGAAAAGAAAATGGTAAAGCTGGGAATGGAGAGATGGTACGCGGCAGGGAATAATACGGACCCAGTATGATTTGATTATAATAGCTATTCAAATAACAAAAAAATCTGGATGTACATACACCCGAGTGTATCATATAAACAAGTTTGTATATCCTACACCTGGGTGTACGGATGGGAACCGTACATCCGGGTCTATTTGTAGTTTAATGGAAGCTTCAGCCCAATTTTAATAAAGTTTAATAAATTTGATGAAGGCCCAATTAATTAAGAATGACAACCCATTTAATTGATACAGTCTAATTTTTTCCGGTGTCATTTTTGTAATTTAAGCGAAAAATCACGGCTAACGCTAAATGAGCAATAATGTACTTTTATTGAACATCTAACCTATTTTATTGAGTATTAGGAGACTAATAATGAGCATCACGATCTTTGGTTCATATCTTCTAATTCTTTTTCTTTTTCTTATTTTTTCTTTTATAAAAATTTATCAAATTATATCTATAATCCACTCTTATTAATTTCAATATGCGAGTCTAATGTAATATGATACTTTTGAAATATACATTGATATGACATTGTAAAAATGAGCATAACATGAGTACCAAATGAGCATACATAACTTACAAAGTGCACATTAATATGAAAATTGTTAGGTTTGTTAGATGAACATCATGACATTTTAATTGAGCATCAAACCTCCACTATTAAGAATTAGTAATAATGAACTTTTAATGAGCACCAAACTTATTTTGTTGAGTATTAGGAGTCTAATATTCAGAATCGTGATATTTGCTTCATAACTTCTAATTCACTTTCTTTTTGTTATTTTTTATCTTAAGGTTTGTTAGTTGAACATCACGACATTTTAATTGAACATCAAACATCTGCTATTGAGACGAAAACCATAGTTTTTTGTGAATGAGCATTAATGAACTTTTAATGAGCATCAAGCCTATTATGTTGAGTATTGGGAGTCTATCATAAAATAATACTTTCAAAAAAAATCATTGATATGACATTTAGAAAATGAGCATAAGATCAGTACCAGATGAGCATATATAACTTACAAAATGTTCGTTGATATGAAAATCATAAGGTTTGTTTGTTTGACATAACGAAGTTTTCATTGAGTATCAAACCTCCTCTATTCAGGAGAACGTATGGAACAAAAAAAGTATGACCGCATGAGTGGAGCAACGCGCGAAAAGAAAATGGTAAGGCTGAGAATGAAGAGATGGTACGCGCCAAGGAAGAATACGGACCCAGTATGATTTGATTATAATAGCTATTCAAATAACAAATAATTACAAAAAAAATCCGGATGTACATACACCCGGGTGTACCATATAAATTGCCAATATAAACGGGAGGCATACTAGATTTCTTAATGAGGCATTAATTTTTTTTATCGTATAATGAGGCATTATTAAAAATTATAAAAATTACTCCGTGTAAGTTAAAGTCTCATTTTACTTATAAAGTGTATTCATCATTGTGTTGAGAATGTGAAGGGAATATCCACATTTCTAATAAATATAATTTATTAGATTCTTTGAAATTATCCTTTATTCTTAATACTCCCTCCGTCTCATTTAGTTGTCTTACTTTTTTTGAATTGTTCCAAAATGATCGATTTCTTATTTTGACAATCAGACTATTAATATCGTTCCAAACTAAAACAAAACATTCGAAATATATAATTATTGCGAAGCAGTTTTTTGTCGTCACTTTTATTTGGTATTTTTTGTTATCATTTCTATAATTTAACCAAAAAATATGTATCCGGTGAACTTTTAATATTTTTAGTGTATCTTTATATACTACTACATCTATCCTGCTGGAATTTGCCAAATGCAAAGTAGATGATAAATAAAAAAAATAAAAATTGAAAAGTGTCAAAATTTTTTGGGACAAAAAAAAGGAAATTGAAGTCCAATGGGACGTGTACTTACCAAAAATTAAGTCATTTTGTTTTGTATATATTCTTCAAAAACTGAAATGAGGAAAGGAGTTAAGGAGGTAGTATTTTGGTCAGGGCTGTTCGTTGTTGAATCTTGATAATTCTCCATTTCGTTAAACCCTAGCGTAGGGGAGAAGTCGTATAGGCTTTACAGCTGAAGGAGGGGCTCTCGTCAGCGTTTAATAGATTCTTTCGCAACAACCAGAGCGGTTGAAATGGGCAACGGAGAAGACGATCTAAGGGACGAGTGTGATCTTACCAATGCCTTCGACGACGCCATCTCGAAATACAAGGTATGTAATCTTTCCATTCTTTCCAGAATCTTGCATTTCACGACTATCAATTCGCTCCATCTCTGTACATATAAATGAATGGTTTGTGCATATGGATAAACTGTAATGGAGATGAGGAATTTCGTTATGTGTCTGTTACTGTGTTTATACAGCACTGGTTTTGGAGAGTAATCAATGGACCAAGATTTGCATATTTTATTCTCTCTCTCAAGAAAGTGTCAAGTAATAGAAGAAACTAGTATTTCCACCCGTGCATTGCACGAGATGCAGAGGCAAACAAATAACATTCCGGTTAAGAAGAGGATTCAGTGAAGCGCTAAATTTCTTATTGAACAACCCTTCTGCAGCCCTTTCAACTCGCATGCTGTTTTTCACATGAGAAGCTTATTCTACTTTTCTTGTTTCGCATTCACATTTAACAGGATAATATGTTATGAAGTTATGGACCGTTTAAGATATAGGTGGCATGCAATATTCTTTAGCTGAACAAGTCTTAATCATCACTTTTTTCTCATTTAGTGTTGCTTTGGTTACCGGAAGATTTATTGAATAAGGAGAATACTCCGTATATCATTGTTCTTTCATACTTGCATCAACATACGCTATATTTTCTCAATTTCAATTATTTGATGCCATGTTGTTGAGTTTCGAAGTGTAATTCTCACTTGTTAGCGTAATTAAGTGTCTGGAACCACTTAGCTCATTAATTCACATTGTTCTGTTCTCTCATATGTTTTGCAGATCAAACATAACCTAGCTGGAGGCGGGGCTACAAGTGCACAAGTGAATTCTTCTGTTGTAGGAGATGAAAACAGAGAATCTAGAAGGTACCCTTTACTCTACCTTTTAAATAGATTTTAAATTAAAAGTCATTTAATTGTAAGTTCCAGTTCATCACAAAGAAATGCACATCCCTTAGGGTACGTTTGAGAGTTAGGTTTTGGAGGGGAGGGGAGGGGAAGGTTGAGGAGGGTTTATGACCCCCTTTTCTTGTTTGGGAGTTTAAAAAGTTGGAGGGGGATGTTTTAGAAAGCTTTAGTAACCCTCCAAAATCCTTCAAATGCTCAATTTTTAAGTTCCCCCAATTTGGAGGTTTTTGAATGATAACAAATTAAATGATAATTTTAGTTCAGTTTAAAATGAATACAAGTTCAACTATTTGAATTCGATATACTACGTATATCTTAAGAGATTTTAATTATAATTTGCGTAGTCCCTCTCTTTCCAAATTTATAACTCCCAAACAAAAACAAGAGTTTATTTCACTTCCCCTTCCCTCTCACGGCTAACCTTCCAAACCTTCCCCTTCTCTTTCCCCTCAAACTCCCAAACATACCCTTAGGTTTTTAATCAAGCTGGGGCCTCCATGACTTGAACAGAATGATTCAGTTTTTACTATTCTTTAATTTTAAATGCTTAAAATGAATACTCGAGACTCCTCGGTCAGCATATCAAGTAATTGAAAACAAAATGTAATGTTCAAGGAAACAGTTCATCCATTTATCAAAATCTGAGTTTGTGAACCAATTCTAGATATATACGTAGAAGATAACTCATTTTTCTTTCTTGTCTGATGTCCTGTTGCAGGCAAAAGGAAACAGGCGATGAAAATGAAGTTTTATCAACACAGAGAATAGAAATAGGGGAGGCTAGTAATGCATCACCTGCAAAAGAAAACTTTTGCACAGAGACAAGTGGTATTGAACAGTCACTTGATAAAACCACAAGTGATGTGGACCCAGAAAGCGTAGAAGATTATAATGGGTTGGTTGAGAAATATTATGAACTTGAGGGGCAGATGCAACAGATTATACAGAAGCTTAACCAATTTGGTGATTTGAGTCATCAGAACCCTGTATCTAGTACTTTAACCCCTCAAGAGCATCAATCTTATGGAGAACAGCCTTCTTACTATTTTTGTTACCCTCATGAGTGCCAGGGTCAGGTATATCCATTCATGGTACCACCTGCTTATTATGTGGGTGAAAATGGCACTGATAAAAACTCTGGTGCATCTCGTAATACTGGCTGCGATCAAAACACAACCTCTTTTCAAGAACCTGATGTTATAACAACAATGGATGCGGCAGCGAAGGCCCTTTCTTCTGTGGGAGTTGATTCAGGTAAGTTCAGATGTTCAAATCTTTTAACTTGCACGTGTGATGGTTGGTTACAGCTAACGGTTTTTTTAATGGTTGGTTGTATAATGATAAAATAGTCAAAGCAGTAGAGAGACAAAAACCAAACATACCTAGTTTGTCCTATTCAGAAGTAGAATTTAGGGGGGGGGGGGGGGGGGGGCAAGATGTGTTATACCTCACCTACCCGTAAGAGTCTAAAACACTAGGAAATTTGCCGTAGTAGGCCGAGCTTTACTATATCGCCAGACTCAATCACAAAAGCAGGGGAGGTTCTATTGTTCTATCTACGTAAAGGGAGCCAACTGTTTACTATGGTTATAGTTATACACTGTTAGCTTAGGGTTCTATTGGTTTCACTGTAAGTTTTAGTTTTTTATGATTTTAAAGTGACTTTTGAAGTTGGCAGTTTCTGGTGTGCGTGTGTGTGTATATACATATAGGTTGTGCTACATATAATGAATAAAAGTAGGCATACTTATACTAATCATATTAGTTATATAAACTACCTACAAAAACTCAAAACCACTTTGTATGGTTTTCATAATCTGGTTTTTAGTTGAAAACTAGAAACAAATAACAGGAAGCGAAAACGATAATGAACATGACCCTTATCTTTGTCAAAATTCATTTTATATAGAGTACTTGTTAGGAGGACATAGAAAGATTTAGCAAAGTCATGTATTCTTATATATACATAATACGGAGTATCTTTTTACATGCAGTACTTACCAACGTTGCTTAAGCAGTAAGGAACACATATGAGAATTCAAAATTTTCTCTTGTCCCTTCCCGCTTCTGCGATGCCATGTCAGAGTATCATGATTAAGTATCTAACAATAATTTTTTTATCCTACTGAACGTGCAATCTTAAAAGTTAGTGTCCTTGCCAGTGGACATTGGACTTGAGTTAAAAGTGGAGCTTGAGCCTAAGAAAGGGAGGGGGCCTTCCTAGGCTTGGGCCCACCCTGATTTCACTGAAGTCTTTGTTTACTTTTGGGAATAAGGCTTGGATTTTGTTGTTGTTGTAATTATAAATATTTAAATAATCATTTTTTTCCCGCCCACCCAATTTTCTCTCCCAGCTACCCCACCGAAACCAAGAGTTATTTAGTCCTGAATTCTTCTATATCTGAACTATGCCGTGATTAATTTTCCATTCATATAATGAGGGCGAACCAGTGATAAATAATGATCACGCAGTCAATGAATCCGAACCTGAAACAGCCCTTCCAGAAGTTTTGCTGCCTCCGTTCATGGCATCACCTGCTTATTATGTGGGTGGAAATTTCACTGACAAAAACTCTGGTGCATCTCTTGAGACTAGCTATGATAAAAACAAAACCTCCTGTCAGCAACCTGATGATATAACAGCAATGGTTGCGGCAGAGATGGCCCTTTCTTTTGTGGGAGTTGATTTAGGTAAGCTCGAATGTTCAAATTTTGTAACTTGCAAGTGTGACAGTTGGTTACAACTAACAATTCTTTTAATTGTTGGCTGTATAAGGATAAATAGTCAAAGCAGTAGAGAGACAAAAACCAAGCATACCTAGTTTTTCCCACTCAGAAGTAGGATTTAGGGAGGGTGAGATGTGTTATATCACTTATATCCCACTTCCCTAAAAGTCGAGTGTTTGCTATGGTTATAGTTATACAGTATACACTGTTAACTTAGGATTCTATTGGTTTCACTGATAGTTTTAGTTTTTTTATGATTTTAAGGTGACTTTTATAGTTGTTGGCGGTTTATGATGTGTATGTATATACATATATATAGGTGGTACTACATATACTGAATAAAAGTAGTCATACTTATACCAATCATATTAATTATGTAAACTACCTACAAAAATTCAAAACCACTTTTAATGGTTTTCAAAATCTGGTTTTTAGTTGAAAAATAGAAACAAAAAACAGCAAGTAAACATGATAACGAACAGGGCCTTATTTTGTCCAAATTCATTTTGTACGGAGTACTTGTTACGAGGGCATAGGAAGAATCTCAAAATCATGTATTCTTATATATACATAATTTTACCTCCGTCCCCCAACTAAGTTCCCAGTTCCACCTTTTGAGTCAAACTTGATAAACTTTGACAATTAATTATTCAAAACTTACATTACTTTATCACAATGAGATTAATTTTTATAATTCAATGCAATATATATTATTGAAATGTTAATTTATTTTATGTTCTTTAAGTATAAATTTCTAGATATTTAGGGTCAAATTCCCACTTCGATGATCGTAAAAGTCAAAGCGGGAACTTAATTGGGGGATGGAGGGCGTATCTTTTTTCATGTAGGACTTACCGATGTTTCTGAAGCCGGAAGGAGCACATATCAGAATTCAATTTTTACCTTGTTCCTTCTGGCTTCCGTGATGCCATGACGTGCAATCTTACAATGTCAGTGTCCTTGCCATGATGGAGTAAAAATTGTCTAACAATAATTTTTTTTTGTTTCGGAACATTGTAATTTGTAAATATATACATATATATATGAATGCTTTTTTTCCCACCCATCCAATTTTCTTTACCAGCTATGCCACAAAAGTCAAGAGTTATTTGGTTCATAATTCTTTGACTAACTATGCAACGATTAATTTTCCATCCAGGTAATGAGGGTGAACCAATGATGAGTAATGATCATGAAGTCAATGAATCCGAACCTCAAACAGCCCTTCCAGAGGTTTTGCATGCCTGGTATGCGGCTGGCTACTACACTGGAAAGTAAGAACCACCTAAGCTGTACAGCCTGTACTTTTTCTCTCTTTCATTCTTATAATCCTCGAAAACCATAAAAAACCTTTTCTCATAAAAAACATTTCAAAATGCATTTGTCATTTATTTGTGCTTGTTCACCTCAACTATATTCTATATCACCAGTTGGTAGTCAATCCCTTTAGTGCGTAAGGTTTGCAGAACTTAGTTTCTGAGTTTCTGGGCCTTGTGCACATACTATAACTTTGGGCCCTCAATTGAATACTCCCTACGAAGTATTTTCAAGAACACCTAAAACAATATATTTTATACAATATAGTAAAAACTTCATGTGGTAAAAATGTATAGTAAAAAGTTCAATGAAAAGTGTTATGCCGATAGTTTTGTAACTAGAGTGAATGTTCCGTTTTTTATGACGCAGGTACCTGAAAGAGCAATCACGTGCAGCAAAAAGACATGAGTAGCCCATGCTTTTCTTTTTGAGGCATTAATGCATTACAATATTCCCGCTTTTGCGTAGTAGGAAAAACATATATCTAGAGGTTTATGAATGTAAAGAGGAGTCAACATTCTTTTAAAGTCCAATGATACTTCTACAGTATCATAATTGCATATAAAAGATTCAAAAAGTTCGTTTTGAGTTTGTTTTTCAATAGGAAAAAGACCACATAAAAAGCTCATTGTAATATCTTACTCCCTTTCTAAAAAATTGCCCTAAATAGGAATACAAAATGGGCTTATTCCTTGAATATTATTACCTCTGTCCCAAATTGATTTGCAAATTTGACTTTTCTTGGTCAAACAGTTTCATTTTATTTGCTTAATTAGGATTTCAGTTTTTAATTATATTCTAATTTGGAGTTTACAAATTTGAAGAGATTTTAATGTAGTTTCTGAATATATAAATTTTAATTATTAAAAATTGAATTAATTATCGATAAAGAGCATTGATTTCTTTTTTTGGTTGATCAAAAAATGTTGACTTTGCAAAACAATTTGGGACGGAGGGAGTACCAAATTAAAGCTAATTTCCAAAAAATGTGACCATTTTTATAAAAAGACAAAAATGTGACTCGTTCCATTGCCACAAAAATGTGACTCGTTCCATTGCCAATTTGGGAAAAATCTCATGCCATTGCCATTTTTTCTCATTATCAAATTTTTATGTCAATTTTATGTCACTACAAGATTATTATGTCACTATCAGATTTTTATAACACTTTTGTCATGAAACATTTCACTTTGATCGTCAGAAAATTTTGCAGCAACCTTTTCCTGTGAAGCTGTACACCACCAATAGTGTTGCCACCGTCAGTGACTTGTTCCCCTAAAATGAACTCAGAGATACCTCACCCTTGCACAGTTGCACCTCTCTGGTGGCCACCACCTACCACAACCCCCAGTGACCATTGGCCCCATGTCCCAGCATCTCAACCCATTGACCACCATCTCAAAGGATCCAAACCATTGACGACCAGCCCTGTGCCCACCTCTCCCCTCCTTAACCCCAGCTCCTCACCTCCCTTGCCACAGCCCCATCCCTAGCACCCTTCCCAGCGCCAACCACCCATTCAACCCACCTTCCTAACCCTAGCCACTTCTCCAACCGCCGCACCAACACTCACAACCCTATTCGTCCAGATTTAGCTGTGATGCCGCTCCCATGCCACCTTGCCGCTGTCATAGCTGAAAGTAGATCTCAAAACCTTAGACAAAAACCTAGCACCAACACTTGCGACAACCAAGCAATTTGGTATCACACGATCCGATACCAAAGCTCATGGATGAAGGCGACGTGCAATTCGAGTCTTATCTACCTCCCATTGATCGGAACAAAGGGGAGTAGAAATCGGCGTAGGATTGGGCAGGTCGATGGCGATCGGCGGAGCAGAGAAGGGGAGGTGGATCAGTGGATGGAGACCGTCGAAGGCGTAGGTTGCTGGCTGTGAGTTCGACGATGGAGGAGCGATGGAGATCGATCCATCCATTCTTCTCAGCCACGGTCGATGTGTAGATGGGAAGAGAAGTTGTCGGTTACTTTTTTGTATTATGAAATATACAAAACTGGGGCCCCACTTAAATGAGTTGCCCATATATGACCATACAATAGGGGGTGAGGTAAAAATGAAATACCATTTTGGAGTACCTTTAACATAGCTCTACTAACAATATTGTAACTGCTTTTGGAGTTATTTTTTTTTAACAGGAGTTGATTTATTTATTAAAGTGGAAGTGAGAAAATTATGCAATCCACCGGGCAACAAGAGAACACAAAATACCACAAAAAATGGCCCATGCAGGTCTCGAACCTGCGACCTTCGCGTTATTAGCACGACGCTCTAACCAGCTGAGCTAATAGGCCTTTGCGACTACGCTTTGTTTTGTAAGTATATGACTTTGGTTTTCAGGGATCGAAGTATGAAACTTTACAAAATCATTCACAGCTTTCCGAGTTTCCGTTCAAGGGTTTTAAAGCGTTTTAGACTGGAGTCGCACGGTCAAATCCCACAGAGACCGTAGAGAGAGAGAGAGGGGGGAGCATTTCCAGAGAAATGGCGAAATCGTCAACCAGTAAGGATGTTCAAGCACTCTTCCAATCTCTGCGTTCTGCTTATGTTGCCACCCCTACTAACCTCAAGGTACGTACATCTTCCATTCTTCCTCTTATTCGTATGTTTTCACCTATTGTTTTCGGAGATGTGTCTAAATCAGCAATTGTGTTTTTCCTTTGCAGATCATTGATCTCTACATCGTGTTTGCTCTCTTCACCGCTCTCATTCAGGTGATTTGTCGAGTTCTGCCGTTCTGCAATTTTCTATTTGTTATTCTTTTAGTGCAGATCTGCGATTTTGCCTTTTTGGTTTTTGTGCTGGTTTGTCCCATTCTCTGGTAAAATTATTGATTAGCCCAATGTGATTGCCTACGAGTCAACCTTCAAATTATTCATGGTCAACGCATGCAGTTATTTGGAATTGAGTCCAGAAGATGTTATGATATCTTTGAATTTGGGGTAGAATTTATTTCCAGCTAGAGATTGCTATCTCCAAGAGCAATACTTGACATGAAATAGGACAGGTAGATCCATGAGACTATGTGAGCGTTGTGTGGCCTAGTTAGGTGATTTTTTAAATGTCTTTTTCGGCAGAAATGTTTATTTTCTGCTTTAACTTCCTGTCTGAGTAAGATCTTCTACAAAATGACATTTCTTTTGCAGTCTTAAGGTTCATCTATTACAAATGCGTCAAACTATCAATGTGACCTGTGACTTTATGTACCCATTTTCAAGAAAAGAAAAACAAGATTTTAAGAATATTTATTTTCTTGTTTGCTTTTACCATGGAAATTGAAATGTGATTACTGTTTTAAAGTCATTCACATATGTTTTGCAGTTTAAATTTCTTAGTGCTTATATAATAGAATTGGATAAACAAACTGAGTCAGAACAAATATAAAATAAACTGAGTTTGAACAAATGTCTCACTTTGCCTCACATTTTATTTCCGTTTCAAATTTCCCTTATACAATTTCATACCCTAACTTTTTCTGAGTTCCGACTTCCAAAGGGACCCTAAAAGTACTGTCTCAGTATGGATAGATCATAGATGCACTGTTTTTAGAGATAGTTTTATAAAATAATTTCAGTATGGTCTGATTTTTTCCTTTTCTTTGTAACTAATTTTCAACTTTTATGCTCATGCATTGTTTAGCATTGATGCCTAATTTATTTTGACCTGAAATATTCATATCCTTATAGCCATTTATGTATCTGTAATTGTTGTTCATACTACTAGGTCGTATATATGGCCATTGTTGGAACATTTCCATTCAATTCCTTTCTCTCAGGTGTACTTTCTTGTATAGGGACAGCAGTCCTAGCTGGTGAGCACTGTTATCTACATTTTCACTGCAATTAAAATCTTATGTTAAGAATTAGTTAATAACAAAAGAATTGGATTCTTTGTTCACAGTTTGTCTTAGAATCCAAGTAAACAAAGACAACAAGGAGTTCAAGGTAAGCAGTCTCTTAGCGCTCCTCAACTAGGCAAATCTTGTAACTATTTATGCCCTACAAAATGGAAAACTGAGAATGTTATCTCCTATGATTTATTTCAAAGCTCACAAACCTAACTAGGAAAGTAACTCAGAGAATTTGTGTTCTCTGGCCCGCTTGGTAAGGGCTATATGGCTGAAATAGCCGAAGCTGCCGAAGTTACTGAGAGGAAAACTGGAAAAGCATTTGGTAAGGTCCATTTTAGGCCAAATAAGTAATCCACAAGCTCTTTATTTCGGAGATGGGCTGAATTAGGCACACATGACTACTTAGCAGAGCCTAAGTTCATGATAATATGATATTTACAATTGCTCCAAGTATTTATCTCTGAATTTAAGTATTGGTCTGAATAGCGGAACTTAGAAATTATTGGTCCATCGGTTATTTTTGAATTTCTTTTTTGTGGAATATTGACAAACCTTATAATGTTGTTTTGTCTTGTGTTGTTAATATTTCAGGACCTACCTCCTGAAAGAGCTTATGCAGATTTTGTTCTCTGCAATCTAGTGCTCCATTTGGTGATCATGAACTTCCTTGGATAATTAACATCTGCCTTGTAAAATTTTCTAAATGCTGCTTTCGGTGTGTCATTAGGCAGTTGAGGCATTAACATATACATGTGGAGACTTTAACATGATTACTATTGGTTACATTCACCTTATGGACCAGTATTTCTGGCGTTTGTCTGTAGCAATTTATTTGCACGTTAAGTTAAAAGTAAACTGAGATGAATACATAACTATACTCCATAAATATGCTCACTTGTTTTGGAATATTTTTGTGCTCTTGCCAGTCTGTGGTTCAGACTTTATACCACAAATCCTCCAGTAACATATACTCCAAGTCTCCAAGGCTCCCAAGCTATTCATAGAGTGTGGATGTAGAATTCTGCTTTTAAGGGTTATTCAGTTGATGTCGCAAAACTCACCAAATTTCATGAAAAATAACACGTTTGTAAGATTTATTTCAAATAAGTAAGCATATTAAATGATACTCTCTCCCTCCTGTAAAAAAAACTTTGTTTTAAAACTTGTCAAAGTTTTACATGGAATAAAAAAAATAAAAATTGTTTGATTAAGTTATGTTCCGTGTTTAGTTCCTAAATGGCGAGCGCCACTACCATTATAAGTGGAATGAAAAAAAAATGTATGATGGAGATGTGTTCTGTGTTCTGTGTTTAGTTCCTAAAAGATGAGTGCCACTACCATTACAAAATCTAGTGAAGATTTATATTCTCATAGATATAACAAGTACTCATACCTTTAACATGAACTCATTTCTGGTCACACCATTACACAATTAGTGATATTAAGAAAATTTAGGGAATGGATCTTTTAAAGAAGTTCAATGTATATGTGAGAACTTGTTAATTCCAAACATAAATATGTGTTTACGAGTAAGCCCCCAACGTGTAGCAGTTGATCTTATATATTCACTGATGGGTGGACGCAAAAATGACTCTCAAACAGTGTTCTAAAAAACCTGAAAAGGTACTTGATTAGTTTTTTTACCATTTGTGGCCCTTCTCGTCAACTTTCTGATGCCTCTCTGGCGACTTTTATCGTCGCAAATATCGATAGAAGGATTATATAGGGGCGAAAAATAATAGTCATGTATCAAAAGTGATTAACGTGAAAGACGTGAACAAATTGTGAAATTGGTGTTATATTTTAGGACGAAAAATAGATATTAGTCATTGGTCTAATTTACAAACATGGTTCCACAAAACACTATTTGTAAAATTAAACACCACTATAAAGATCTACGTGCCAGAAACTCATGCCACATGACTAAGTATCATGTTCCATGTCATTGTCAACATTTTGCGATCTTAAAGACGGTCTATATGATATTATGCCTAGTGCCATTTGGAAAGGCAAGTAATATCATCCAAAACTCCGACATCAAAAAATATTTTTTCAATCAAAAGTATATCTTTCAATTTTCATTCCGTTGCTTCAAATAGCAATGCAAAGCTACATGCCACTTTGAGACTATCTATACTTACATGTGTCCAAACAAAAAGGCATGCCAAGATTTCTCGTCAAATAACATGTTATTCATCCATCATGTAAACCATCAACTTAATAATTCTCGATCTTACCAATCAACTAGTGTATCACCCGGGGCATGCCCCGGTCACTATGAAATAAAGTTGGTTTTCAACTCCTTTTTCGTCCATATTGCAGCAGCTCGTCCCTGTCCATAATCACTTCCATGCCAAGAATAGCTTTATGGAAATGTTTTACTCCTCTGTATTATTTTTTTCCTTTAGTAGTGCTTATTTTTATTTTAGTTCAAGTAGGTTTGGTTTGGATATTTAAATTTGTGTTGAAGTACTTTTGATAGGCAATGATTCTGTTTCAGTCGTTTTATTGCCCGTTTTGTATCTAGCTACTCAGGTTAGTTTGTATGATGCGGTTGTCTATATGTCTACTTTTAGAGCTTACAATCGATTCTGGTAGAGGCTTGCTTTTGTGCTTTCTCGATAATAATATAAAAACCCGCTCTTTTATACTTCGTATTAAAAAATCCTTTTAGCCAATTCAATATTCAGCAACGTAACGTAAGTTAGGTTCAATTTCTAAGTACATGTAACTATGATTTGGGTTGTTGGTTAGGAAAATAATTTCTCAGTCGAATTGAGGCAAGTTTTAATGTGGAATAACATAATTTTTCATAGTGTTCAAGTAAAAATGATGGGATATTACATTATACTACAAAAGTTAAATGTTTCCTCAATGGGTTAAATGTGTTTTTTTTACTCCAGGAGGCGTCTGGGGGAAGGAGCCTGGAGTAATTAGGGCTGAAACTCATTCCATTGAATTTCAAACCCCTTATGTGCCTAGCGGGTTTCGAACTCGATACCTCTCACTAGGCACAGTAAACACACAATCAGCTGGGCTGGAATACTTGGTTGAATGGGTTAAATGTTTTTAACTATCGTTTCACGTGAAATCATGCATCATAGTTAAACATCTTTAAAGTTATTCGAATCACTATTGTTTTTAACCGTTGATTTTCTAATGAGATAAAAAACGAAATTAGTAGCATATTATTCCCAAAAAAAATACTAAAAAGAAGTCAATCAAAACTGATAAGATGAAACTGATAAGTTGTACATGTAAAATGTAGTGATTTTAATATAGTAGACTGACCGGTCCAACATCACATAGAAGTCTCAATAATAGGGAGCATATCAAGAATAATACACTGGACCGGACTTCTTTAGCTTTGGGCCTATCTATTATTTATTGGACTTTTAATTATTTTGTTATTCTTTGATGTAATAGGTATAAATACCTCAAACAGATTGTAATTAGGTCAAGTTTATTCATTCAATCGCAATACACCTTTCCGTAATCTTCTTCTCCGCAAACGCTCCATATCTTTGTTGATTAGAATTCAAGCAATTTCTTGAGATAAAACTTCACATGTGTTAGGAATATTTTATGGTGTCCAATCTAGTTAAATATATTTGTATTTGTGTAGTTACTAATTAAATGTGTAATATGAGACACAAATGTATATCAGCCCGTTAGCTTCTTTGTAATCATAAATTAGTCAACTTCTCCTATAAAAGGAGGCTAACTTATGGAAATCCTAAGCATCGAAAGGCTTGAGAGTTAGAGGCGAGATAGAGAGTAGGGTTTGCCGCTGCTCTCTTTCTCGAGGGAAAACAGCGACCAGATCACGGTATACAAGATTTGATTCTCATCTCAATATCTTTCTATCTGCTTCTTCTTTATCTGCTATGGCTGTTTGATTGTTTAAGAATAGGGTCTATCAATTGGTATCAGAGCCGAGGCGTGAAACAGGTTGAATCTATTAGGGGTGGGCGTGGTCCGGAACGGTCCGGTAAATTGGTAAAATCCGTAATGTATCCGTGAGGTTTTTAACGGTACAATACGGTCCGGTTCCGAGGATAGAACCGTTCGGTACCATGTCGCTTCGGAACGGTACAAAACGGTACGGTACAATGCCAAACACATGCTAAAATTTTTGAACAAATCTTGCAATTAGTAGATATCATCACACTAATCAACTCACATGAAATGTTGAAATAAATACAAGAAATTGCATACCTAGTACTAAAATTCACAAATGCACAAATAGTGCAACACAACTAAGAAAAAGTATAGCAAACCGATGACGCACGAGATATATATCATTTTTAATTTACTAAGTTCATGTGATCCTACTTTATACAAAAAATTTCTTGAGTTTATGAAAACTCAGAATGACAAACCTACTTCTGATCATATTGCTATGGTTGTTCCCGCTGCTCCTGATCAGTCTTCTGTTGATTCTCATCTCATAGGTGATCATTCTGTTTTTCTATCTAGTGTTCAATCTTCCATTTGGATTTTAGATACTAGAGCTTCTGATCATATGACTCATAATTTCCGTTTATATACTTCCTCTCTTAAATTTGTTTCTATTAATGTACAATTACTTATTGGATCTTTTATTAGTGCCACTCATATTGGTGATATCAAAATCAACAATAAACTTACTTTACATAATGTATTATATGTTCCACAGTGTAATGTTAATCTCATATCTATTTCAAGTTTTGCACTTCATGAAAACATCTTTGTTCATTTCTCTTCTAACCATGCTACTTTGCAGGATCTTCTCACCAATCAAATGATTGGTTATGCTGATCTTCAAAGTGGCTTATACCTTTATAATTCGTCTGAATCTTCCTTATCAACAAATAAACTTTCTATTGCTAATGTTGCTCATAGTCAAAATTCAGATCCTAAATCTGATGTTTGGCATTATAGACTAGGTCATTTACCTTTTAATAATTTGAGTTCTCTTGTTGGTTGTAATATTCAACATCATATGAATAAAAATACTTTCTGTGATATTTGTCACTTTGCTAAACAAAAAAAGCTACCATTTCCAAAAAAGTACTTCTCATGCTTTGCATGCTTTTGATCTTGTGCATATGGATGTTTGGGGTCCTTTTAGAGTAGAATCTTATTTTGGATTCAAATATTTTTTAACTATTGTTGATGATCACACTAGATGTACTTGGATTTTTATGATGAAAAGCAAATCTGAAGTTAAATTCTATATGCTGAAGTTTTACAATCCGAATCTTACTCAATTTCATACTAAAGCTAAAATTATTAGAACATATAATGGCACTGAATTTATTTTTCCTTCTTTCTATACTGATAATGGCATCGTTCATCAATTATCTTGTGTTGAAACTCCTCCGCAAAATGCTAGGGTTGAAAGAAAACATCAACATGTTCTTCAAGTTGCAAGATCTCTTTTATTTCAATCTTGTCTGCTTCTCATTTTTTGGTCTGATTACATTCTTACTGTTGTTCATATTATAAATAGAATTCCCACTGCTATTCTTAATAATAAATCTCCCTATAAATTATTATATGGTAAAGTGTCCGATTATTCTCATCTAAGAGTTTTTGGTTCTCTTGTCTATGCATCTACTTTATCTGCTGATAGATCAAAATTTGATAAAAGGGCTGTTAAATGTGTTTTTATTGGATATCCTCTTGGATCAAAAGGATATAAACTATATGATATTTCTAAACAAAAATTCTGTATATCAAGAAATGTAAAATTTATGAAATGATTTTTTCTTATAAAAACAAATCCGATCCTTCTAATAATGATTTTGTTCATTCTGACTATGTTTTA